GCAAACCTGAGAAGACGGTTAGCTCTAAGATCGCAATCCGCCTATTGCCATATGAACGTATTGATTGCTCTATATTGATCAATTTGAATGAATGAGCACGACTGCGCTGTTTGAGATAAACCTAAAAAACAACTAGATCTCCTCAAGTGTGCGAAATCGCTCAGGAGAACGTATGGTATTCTGAGTCCAGAGTTTGCGCTGGATGGAACGGTGCAAAGCACTTCGATATGGAGTATCGGTTCCCATTTTCAGGTGTTGTTCAATCGGATTTATTTTATTCTTTTTTCAAATAAAATTTGTTATTTCATACACTTGTTACAGAAGTAGTGAGTGTTAACAACTTATGAATCAAAATTCCATGCGTTGCATTTTATATTTATTCGATGTATTTCGAACAATGTATAATGCGTCACAAAAGCAAATACACTCGCTGCACAAAATTGAAAGCATAAACACTTGTCTTTCAGTACATCGTATAAACTCAATGTGATGTTCATCTAATTCCCAAATATGCACACATTCAATACGACGATATCTGATTCAAAATCAATGAATTATCACTGAACTGATGATAGTAGAAAAATAGATGACGACAAGTGCAATGATGTCGCATTATCTGTGTTATTCAATCATGATCAACCTCAAGCATTTCATTTATGCATCGACAATGAGCTGAACTGTATAATGTTCGTATGAATCATCATCTTTCTTGAACAGTGACTCGGGTTCTGTGGCTTTCTCATCGTCCACCTTAAAAAAGTACATCTCAATCTTTTGAAGAACGATTGCCATAAAGGCACACGTAAATTCGATGCTCTTTTTGTGCAATTCTCAATTGCCATTCAAAAAAATTGACTTTTTGAATGATGAGAATCAATTAATCGAGTCTTTCAACGAGGAAAACTGCATAATTGTTGAGAGTGGCAAATGGACACATGTGGATGAAGTGATAAGAATTGGATCATTCGTTTGTGAGTCATTTGGGATTTGTTGATGGATAAATACTAAAAAATATCCAAGTCTGTTGTTCTATGAGCAAGGAAGTATTGTCACCAGCTGATATTCAAGTTCATTTGAGCAAACCGAACATGATTAATGGAATAATCAATACGACGAGCAGGAAATAGCAGTTAGCACTTATCATTCATCACACGCAAGCAATAAGAAATAATCAGGAGCATATATTACCGCAGTGTAGTAGAGAAGAATTTGATCCTGTTTCGCTTCACCGCCCTCGACATGCGTTACTTCGATGTCGGCGATTTCATCCTTATCGAGGAATGTAAACGGTGGTTTCACTGTGTAAATGTTCGCATCGGTAGTCTTCATCTGAAATCGATCAGCATTGATTTACCATTAAAACACCAATGATATACTCTGGCGCACGCTGAAGATTTTCACTGGAAAGNAAGTCGTCAAGTTGTTCGATAACCTTGAAAGCCAATCTTTTGCCGACAGTGTTGTGCAACATAATGCTTTGATTACCGTACTTTATGGTACCATCCTCGATTTTCCAATGTAACTCGTTCGGCATACACGCTTCTTTCTCCTCTTCTCCTTCCTTCTTCTGCTCTTCGTCATCCTTCTTATCGCCTTCTTCCTTCTTGTTGTCTTCCTCCTGAAAATTGCTTTTTTATTGCAATATTGCATTTGTCGTTTTCATATTTTTGAGCGTTTCGTTTATTCCGATGAAAGATTCCAAAAACTTATTTTCTTATCAGATTTATCATTCTGTTCCTCTTTTTGTTCCTCCTTCTTTTCCTCTTTCTTTTCATCTTTCTTATCTTTATCGTCACTCTTTTTCGCATCACTGCTCTCACCTTCCTTCTTCTCAGGCTCAGTTGGCTTCTCCTCTTGTTTCGGAACCGCTGCGGGTGGTGGTGCATTGGCTGCCTGTTTTACGAATCATTCNTCGATAAAATTTATGAAGAAGTGTTCATGAAGAAGAACCGAGATCCGTCTTTAATTGAACTGATGGCCGTTTGATCTCAAGAAGAATACTCAAGTTCATAATCTAGAGTTTGGATTTAAGATTGACATTTGTAATCAGATGGTGAAATCTCTTTTCCAAGATGTTTGTAAACCAAGAAGTGTAATGATAAAAGTGTTGTTTCATACCTTTTTGCCTTTACATAATGTGATAAGGAATGAATGCAATGCAATATTTAATACGAATAGCACAACTGCTAACCACATTTTGATTGATTGATTTTTTATTAATCAGTTGACAATTAAAGTGACTAAAATTTGCAACCGTTATCACATTTCATACTGCATCATAACCAAAGCCGTTCATGAAACTAACAATCAACCACAAGTACTGGAATGGAAGAAGGTATTGGAACAAACCAATTAAAATTAAATCGACCGAACCGCTTCGGGAGGAAAAACTTTAAACAATAATGAAACTTGTTAATGATTCCATTAGCCTAGCATTAACTCATCTCTGAGACGGTACAATTTTGCGTGAATTTTATTGGTTTTATGGAAAACCTTCGGTGTGAATTTATGAATTTCTGAATTTATGAAAAATCAGCTGTAAATTTCTGAAAAATTGATTGAGAGCTCCTTCGTGAATTCGCTCGCGGCCTTCTCGTTGAACGACGATGTTCATCCAAAAGTTATTTTTGCGATGAGTTCCGAGAGAATATTTATTGCTTATTCGCTGCTATTTCTAGCAAACTGCTACGGCAAACGACTGACTGACTCTTCATCGTGGAAAAGAATTTGTTGCGAAACAAATTTCGGTATGTTTGTGGTGCTTTGAAGAAGTTTTGTGATATTAATGATGTTTTGATGTTCTCCCATTGACTTTGCACCCATGAACAGTCAACGATTCTCCAAAATCACCAATTATATTAGGAATATTGTCGCACAATTGCAACGTTGCCCAGTTTTGTGCTAACAAATTGTGAAATGCTCTACGTTGTTATTGAGTTGCTGTGTGTGTGACGAGCGATTCGCAAGCGACTCTTCAGCGCGCTCGAGGACGGTTACTGTTATTGCACCCGTTAACGTTGCTCACTAATATAACGACAGAGTTCAGCCAAAAAATAAAATTACTAATGGAGGTGATGCCGAGAACTCGAGCCTCAGCTCATCGGGTATCGATA